TGAGAAATAATGCACATGACAGAGAAAGGACAGGTTACCAACGATAAATAATTCATAAGAACTATCATTTACTTACCCTCATTACAAACCTGTGAGTAAATGATGACAGAATTAGAATTTTTGAGTAACCTTCCCTTTAAATAGCTCCTTTAGCTACCTTGTGCATTGTTTCTCCACCAGGAATAGAAAATAATAGCAAAATCACGAGGTTGAGTGGTTTTGCAAAACCACTACAAGTTCACAACTGGACTCCAACAAGAATTCACCATATGGAACCGCTTAGTAATCTGGACAAGATGTGATCTATTCTTTGCATCTTAATCTGTGCGAGTGTAATCTCAGTAACCTTGCACACATCATCCTCACACATTTTGATGAGGGAAAGACGATTTAAATGAGCGATTGAACACTGGATTTACAACCAGTTATATTTATATGTGTGTGTGTGCATGTGGGTCTATTTTCGTGTGCCTTCTGGAAGATGAAGGCAGATTAGAATCGACAGATTAGAGCGAAGTTCTAAAGAGGGTAGGAGACTGACGGCACACTAAGAATTTAAGAGCATTTTAAACAAATATACACGAACATTAACATATTAGCCATAGCCAGGGTTCTAGAGAGTTGAGATTCCTCGCTAATCCCAACAAATCCTTACGAAACACAACTACTCTTGTTCATTTAAAAATATTTCAAATGCCTGTTTCTATATACAAATCTGCTTTTTATTTATGTCTTTATATCTTTATGTTGCTTCCCTCCAATTGACACACTTCCTAGAACTTCCGCTGAAGATACAGGATCCCATCCATAAATATGGCTGCACCCGGAATGCCAAGAATTCAGCCTGGAATCTTTTTAAAAAGCACATCCTCTACACACACACAAACACACATACACACTTACTCTCTCTCTCTCTCTCTCTCTCTCTCTCTCTCTCTCTCTCTCTCTCTCTCTCTCTCTCTCTCTCTCTCTCTCTCTATCTCTCTCTCTCTCTCTCTCTCTCTCTCTCTCTCTCTCTCTCTCTCTCTCTCTCTCTCTCTCTCTCTCTCTCTCTCTCTCTCTCTCTCTCTCACACACACACACACACACACACGGACACACTAACACACACATGCTCCAGGTTGGACATCATAAGAAGAGTTATTTAAATGGCTGAAGATCTGTGATGCTAAATGTATTAGTCATTATATTACATAATTCCATGCACTGCAAATGACCTTTGATTAGATGTTGGCCATCCTTTAGTTTGAAAATGTAAATCTAAATAAAGGTTTTTGTTTTATCAGTAAAACAAATAATATTCAAGACTTCTTATTCTTCCCTTGATATAGTGAAAAGGCTAATGAGCTGAAAGCAAAGAAACAGCTGGTAAAGTCATTACTCTTCTCTGGCTACTGCTGAACACACACTTTCCAGCAGAATCGTATCCAACATATGCACACATCTACACAGACTTATATAATAAATATGCAATTATTAATATTATTATTTTTGCATTGTGCATGAACTCACCATGCTGTTTTAACCAGAATTCTGTACCAGCGTGTTATTCTTGATTGTAAATACTATTGGGGTGCACAAATCTTTCCACCATTGCTCATAAACACAGATACCTGAAAGAAAGAGAGATAAATTATACTTTGCATGATGTCACACTTTCTTAAAATTAAAATTCCACCATCTTAAAATCCCACATACCTATATCCATACAAACCAAAAGGAACAAACAGACATTATAATATATAAACCCAGAATGCATGTGCAACCAAAATGTTTTTTCTCTCTCACTCTCCTTAACTTCACAAGCAAAAGACTATTAACAGATAATGAGAGACAGAGATGAAGACAGAGTGTTTTTAAAAATGTAAACAGATAAAAGCTGTCATTGTACTCCACATGCATTAAGAAACATACCAGTCCCTCTCTGTGAATCCCCATTGCACAGTTGCAGTTATAAGTAAATTCCCAGCTTTACGCTGCCATGCCTCTCACACTCTTTTTTGTCTCTTGCCTCTTCTTTTTTTCTTCTTCTTCTATCCAACTCTGCACTACCTCCCTCTGTCCCTGTGACAACAGCCCACATGCACAGCCCCTCCCCCACCCACCCAAATCCTCCCCTCCCCCCTGCCCTCCCTTTTAGTTGAAAGTATTTAAGCAGAGAGAGAGAGAGAGAGAGAGAGAGAGAATGGAAATCTCTTTAGGATATTTTAATTTTAAATAACTGTTACTGTTTATTTAAAATTAACATATTCAACTGTGTCTTATAAATCATGCACACATGGCATTGGTGTAGCTTTTTAAAAAGTATAGTCCAATGCAATAACTTATATTTGTCTAATATATGTCTGTGTTTCTCAGAGGGCTTTGTTAAACAACCCTTGTTGTGAGGGTTAAAAAATGATCTGGATATCAAAATATAACTTCTATCTAGTAAACAGCTGAGGGTGCTGTTGGCTGTAATTCCACTGCTGAGGTGTTGAAGATCCCTGGAATGCGAAGAGGAATCGTTCCACATAAATGAGCTTTGGAGAAGCTAAACACTCTTCCTTTCCCCTCATCCAAACAGCTTTCATGTAATCATTTGCATTCTTTTTATTGAAGTCAGAATTAATTAAAAAATGTATTTATTTAATGTGGAAACGTTTCCCTGCCATGTGAAATATATTAAATAGAAAATTCATATTTAAAAGTCAAAACAAAACTGAAAATCTTAACGTATATGTGCTTAACATATGCTCGTGCTTGTCATTGTTTGAACAGCCGCTATCTATGTCAGTCTCTGAAGGGACACTTGATAACCACCGGTCACTCTGACTCCAGAGAAAGATAAAAAAATAAAATAAACTTAATTAACATGCAATCTGTAGAAATACTTTTGCAAACTCTTGTTAGATAAGCTTGTAAAATAGATGTTTTCTGTGGAACACTATTGGCAAAGCAGAGAAACAGAATGTCTTTAATGTCATTACTTTCATTGGACAGTTTGAAAAAGAAAAAAAAGTACTTCATTGTTAAATCCATCAGTGTTTTTTTTAAACACTGCTACTCTCTATTTAAATGTATAGCATTTTTCATCAAAGTATAAAAATGTTTTCCCTTATTTTCCTTTGACAGGTGATCAGTCACATGACAAATGTTCCTGTATGGCAGCCTTCAGTTGTATACTTCTAGTAAATCATGCAACACTAATTGGTAATGCTAACAACTTTTCTTCAGGTAGGCTATTGGAGGTTTCTATGGTTAATAATGTATGGCATCTTAGCCAATAAAATTCATCAATGAATATATTTTAAGCTATTCACCAGACATCCATTTAGGCATGGCACTTGTTTTGGCACTTTACACATCCCCACCCCCCCAACAATTTCATGTAAACTTGCGTGATAAATGATGTATATATGGCATAACTACTTGTAACAGCTCATTGATGGCATTACTGTAATTTATTTGTATACACTGTAGCTTATATGCAGCCCACAAGTTACAGTTGTTGTATATTTCAGCTGATTTTATGTTGCTTTCTGTCTGGTTGCAAATAGGCTATAATAGCTCTTTCAGAATATTTTCGATGTGTGTGTTTAGTAAAAATCTTTTTGCCCCAGTGTAATTTTTTTATTATTATTGTAATTTTATTTTAAAATAACTTCCTTTGTGAAGCCAAAGTGTAAATATGCAACATACGGAACTGTTATCAAATAAGCAGCTGCATTATATTTCTTGTTGATTAATTAGAAATGGTACTTTTGGAGCTATTCACAGTGTCTCAATCTTTTTGGAGAACTCAAAATCAATCCACCTAAGCTTTTCAGCTAATCAGTTTAGTTAGAGGCTTACAGGACCCAAGCAATGGATCTCTAGCAAGCTAATTAGATATCATGGCATTAGCTCATTGTGCAAAAGTCAAGTAAACAAATCCAATGACTTTTCCAGATTGATCTATGCTTCATTGTCTTAGAGGAAAATTAGCTAACATGTAGCACAATATCATGTACTGATACTGTTTATTTTTTTCTTGATAAAATTAAATGTTTTATAGACTAGAACTCATATGGATTTGTAGTAAGAGGTTTTTCTTGGAGTGAAACCAGATGGCCCTTCGCAGCTCTTCAAATGGCTAACATTAAATACTAACAAGCTTGTGTGTCTTGTTAGTGGAAGTTAACAGCATTGGCAGCTAAAACATCTGTACCTATATATGATTTTAAATGTTGTCTATTAAATGGCTTCTTTTTGTATCCTGTCTTGGTGTTAGTCCAACAGCTTAAAACATATCTATAGACCACAAATATTAAGCCAATCACTTGTATAAATCCGGAGGAATTTTAATGCTCAGTAAGAATGGAAGTCCTGCCTTAAAAGAGCCAGTCACATTTTTGATAGGGTTTGTTTCATTTAGAATATATGAGCACATTAATTTTGACCCACCTGACAACTGGAGACCGAATAATGAGCAGTATAGCTAAGACTTACTGCATGTGCTAAAATTTGAGTTTAATGAATTTTTGTGTGAAATAAGGACCCATTTATGCTCGCTTGCATTCAATCTAGTGGACAAAAGTACAACTTCAAAGAGGAAACCATTGTACCCTTTTCAAAAGATTTTAGATGTTTGTTCATGTTCGCTTGACTCCAAATTTCTCTTTTACAAATTTCACAAAGCACATTTTTATTTCATTACTGCCTTGACTTGATCGAGAAGTTCAAATTTCTCTTCACATTTAATCATAATGTTTACTGTATAAATGTGCAATGACATGGGATTGTGTATTATAAAGACTCATCTAATGTTTAAAAAGCTGCCTCTGTTGTTCTGTAACTCATATTGTCTGTGTTAAGTCAGACTGTAGGGTGGAACAAGCTTTGTTGACGTAAAGTAATAATTAACCTGTAAATGACAACCAAATGAAACCAACATGAGTACATGACAGACTTTGTTGTGTCTAGACATAGTGGAAAGGTACTTTCAAATGATAAAGATTTGCCACAAGTTCCAATGTGAATGCTATCTAAAATCGTAACTTTATTTGAGGAGTCGTTTAGCCCACATTCTGTGGTCTGCTCTTCAAGATTGCCGCTTGTAATATCACTCGCGGCCGTCTAGTGCATCCTGGAGTCTAAACAACAAAGAAAAATCAGAATCAGTAAGTGTGCATGCATGATACACTGTAAAATATAACAACTAAAGTTTTACTTTATGTCTTTACTTGAAGTCTTCTCCATCTAGAAGTTTCTTGTAAGTGCTGATCTCTGCTTCCAGTTTCATCTTCATATTTAGCAAGGCTTCATATTCCTGACCCTGCTCTGTGATATTTGACCTCAGCTGTCCCAGCTCAGCTTCAAACTGCAGAATGATGGTATTGTACTTCTCCATCTCTGCATTTGAACGTTGCTCTGTGTTCCGCAGGGTATCTTCAAGTGACGCTTTCTAGAAAGTTTGGCATCAAATATTTTCAACATGAATTTATTATTTTATTAAAAGTTCAGCTTTTATAGATCTGAAATATGATATCTGAAATCTCAAACATTCATAAAGTGGCATGTGTGTGCACGTTACCAGGCTTTGTTGGGATGCGAGCTCTATTTGTAGCGTTTGCATCTGTCGCCGAAGGTCATTAATCTCCATCTGAGCTCCTTGTAATGCCTCTGTGTTCTGAGCGACCTGCACCTGAACTTCTGACAACTAAGGAGAAAGAGTTTGATGGTTAGTTTGTTAGATCATGGCGAAATTGTTGTCATGTAGTGGTCAAGGGTTCTGTACCTGGGATTCGTGCCACATTTTGAGCTCTTCTGCATTTTTGAGAGCTAGCTTTTCATAGTTAGCCCTCATATCTTCCATCACTTGAGCCATATCCTGTCCTTTGGGTGCATCAACATCCACCTGAACACCTGACTGTGAGATCTGGTTTCGCATCTCCCCAACTTCCTGTCAAAGTTGAACAGAAAAGAAATCTGAGACACTTGGAGAGTATTATGCCTTTTCTGAATTCCGATGATGTTAATATGTTGTTGAAGTAGAAACAGACTGTGATCAATTTAAAGGTCGCATTAAGTTTTGTGTCTTTTAGTCTATGTCTGTAAGTTATAAATCCATCTTTATGCTAGCACACCCCTAAACGCTTACACAATAATAGATATAGTAATATATGAGATATTACTACAATAATGAGAATATCCATCTGATGACTCATCTTGCACCACATAGATTTTTCTTCAATCAAATGCTCTCTAGAATTAGCTCCTCCCTCTAATACACCCCCTGCAATTGACTTCTGCAAATCATGGTTTGTGGTTGTGATGAAGCAAAAGCCTATTGCTGACCACCCTGATTTGTCCCGCCCCAAATGTCTTCTTTAATAGGAAATACATCAACAAATGTATAAAAAAAAAAAAACGACTCGTCAAATTATATCATGGGGTCTTAAAGCTTATTCTGAGAATCTCTTTCTGTGTGTGTTAAGTGGCTCTTATGCAATGGTTGTTTACATTTTCGTGGTTTTTCTTGAGGAAGACAAGCTCTTCTTTCAAAGACTCAATTTCACCCTCCACATTCAGGCGTCCAATATTGGTGTCATCAATGACCTTCTTCAGACCTGCAATATCTCCTTCCACAGACTGCCTGATGGCCATCTCATTCTCAAACCTATAACACACACACATCAAAGTCTTTAAAGTAATGCACTATAATGTTTCTGTGCGCATGTCAACAGTCCTCCAACATGCTTTTGTCAGGCTGATGATTTCTGGCTTGTCAATTATGTCATTCTAAAAATGGCTACATTCTCAGAAGCATGCTCATTTGATTTCGAGTTACAATGCTTGTGGTGTGGTGTAATAATGGAAACTAACTTGACTCTGAAGTCATCTACTGCCAGACGAGCGTTGTCAATCTGCAGAACAAAACCAGCATTGTCCACAGTGGCATCAAACACCTACAGGCAAAACAAAGCACATATTTCACCAAACAAAACCTGTTTTTGACATCCACCCATCTTTTTTTTTTCTGTAGCGAAAGATAAGATTTGTCAGATGGTTTTAATTACAGCATTCTTGGAATGAGGTTCAGACGTATGAGTTCTTATCTAATCAACTAATTGTCCGGAATCATATGTTGTATTACTGAATTAACTTTCTTTATGAAATTCTGAAGCATTAAAGGGTCTGATTGAGCAAGACTATAAAATATGAAAAAAAGGCAGAAAGGGTTTTATTGCTATATGTTTGATGTGTGCGTGTGAGAGAATTTGTGTATGTCTGTATATACTGTATTATCTATGTGTGTAGAGCAGAACATTTGAAATAGAAGTTATGATCAAACAATAACTCCTACAAAGTTTGTCTATGTGCCACATCCTGCAGTGGTTGCATGTTATCATGCGCTTCTACTTATCAGACCTGGCTGTTTGAAATGTCATAATATTTGTAGTAAAATTTATTTTCCTAAATTAAGAATATAGTAATAATTCATCTTAGTTTATGTTTTCATTTCTTAGCTCAGTTGTCTGCTTTTCAGTATTGCTGGGATTAAGGAAAAGATTAGACATTTCTGAACTCTAAATGTGTAATGATTCAGCCACATCTGCTAAAAATGATGCAGTTCTTCATTACATTCTTGTTGTGCGAGAGAGTGCTGTTGTGTGTGGGTGCATGAGCGTGTGTGCGATTGCTCATCCAACATCTGTTTTGCATTATGACTCTACTTAGAGACTCTGTAGGGAAGTTTCAGCTGGCTATAGTCCGTCAAACATACTTCTAATGTTTTAGAAACAATTGTGACCAATGTCATGGTTGCATAGATTTTTAAAAGCAAATTTGAGGAATATCCTCTGGTAGTTACCAGAATGCATAATGAAAAGCAGAACAAGCACAAAAGAAAGGAGAGAGAGAGAGAGAGAGAGAGAGAGAGAGAGAGAGAGAGAGAGAGAGAGAGAGAGAGAGAGAGAGAGAGAGAGAGAGAGAGAGAGAGAGAGAGAGAGAGAGAGAGAGAGAGAGAGAGAGAGAGAGAGAGAACAGGGCGTGTGCCACACCCTCCATTGAGATGTACGGAAATCTGATCATGCGTTTTTATTTCACTGAAGGGTTCTCATGAACACATTTTTTGTTAACATATTCTTAAGACATGAAAGAGACTCAGGTTTTGGTGTCAAACAAACAAACAACCAAAAAATACACATAGTTTTCATTAGTTTAATATCCACACAAACTTAAAAAAAAACTAAAACCAAAAGAAAATTATTTTTGTTGTAAATTGACTATATTATATTTTATACATTTTTACATACCATAAATTGCAAGATGTCTACAGTACACTAGACTATAGGAATTCATTGTGTTTTGTTGAAATTCAAATATAAAATGACTATTTTCTGCCTAGGCAAAACTTTTACATTACTGCTAAGTTTTGATTATGACTTTCTTTTTAGTTCAAAACATCTGGTATCTCCTCCTCCTAACATAAATAACTGCCTGCTCTTTCTCAAACTCTCAAATGCTTCCTTTTGCAGCTTGAAAACCCCCACACAAGCGTATAAACCCAACAATGTCTCTCACCTTCCTCCTCAGGTCATCCAGGATGGCGTTGTACTTGCTGTAGTCGCGAGTTTCTGGTCCACCTTTCTCCAGGGCCTCTCTGATCTGCATCTCCAGTTTGCTGTTCTCCTGCTCCAGCCTGCGCACCGTGTCCAGGTAAGTGGCCAAACGGTCATTTAAATTCTGCATCTGGCCTTTCTCATTGCCCATTTGGGCCCCTGAGGAGCCAGCACTGGCCCTGAGGGACCCCCCTGCACCAGCACCCATGCTGGCTGAGCTCACCTTGTAGGCCGAGGAAGAGGAAAGGCCACCACTTCTAGGGGCCGAACGGAGAGACATGGAAGAGACGGACGAGATCCTGGTGCCCTGTCCACCTGCCCCACCATACGTACTAGCAGCACGGTGTGCGGGCACAGAGCGGGTGAAGGACATGTGAGAGGCCTGAGGTACGTAGAAGCTCATGGTGGTGGAGAAGTGAAGTACTGGCTGCACGAGAAAACGAGTGTACGCTGAGGGAAGTCAACCCTTAAGAGCCACAGGAAGAGAACTGTGCCGCTTATATACCCCCACTAAACTCTTTCTGTTCCTCCTTTTCTCTCTCTGACTCACACACACACTTGACCAGCTAAGACCCTGCCCACATGGTCCGTTTTTTCCCTTACTTTTTTTTCCGGTGTTCTCTAACGCCCTTCCCACATCCTCTCTCCCTCCTTTCCTGCCCCTATCTCACCCCTCTGCCTCCCTCCATCTGAACCCAGTCCCTGAGCTCGTCTGGCCCCGGCCACATATACATACTGCAACAGGATACAGCCTTGAGATCAGGCTCATTTTGTGCTTTCAGTCTCACAATGCTTTTGTGAAAGCTTAAATGACAAATCCAACTGAGAAGAACAGTGGTTTTTGATGTGTGCATTTTCTCAAAAGAATGGCCACATGTGGATTGGATTTCAACTTTTTTTTTTAACTCTTTTTCTTAAAGGGATAGTTCAGCCAAAAATGTCATAATTTACTCATCCTCAAAACAACATTGGACCACATTGACCTTTATTGTACTTATAAATAAATACTTATTTTTTGTTTCACAGAAGAAAGTAAGTCATACTGGTGTGGAACAAAAATGAGAATTTTAATATTTTGGCTGAATTATCCCTTAAAAACATCTAAAACTACTACTTCTATATCTGCAAACTGCAGTGCTACAAATAGTTTCACTTGCTTTTGGCCTTTTAAGGTCCTGCTCAGAATTACATAACTGTCCAAATATGTGATGTGCTATGTTTAAAAAACATTGATAAAGTCTAAACACCCCGAATAAATTGGGAGTTGTACAAAAACAAGGTTGTTAAGGCAAAACCTCAAGATAATGTCTGAATGTTTTGAGTTCATTGAATGAGGAACAGTGTGAACCTCTACTTACCAGGTTTAAACTTTATGATTTTGGTAGCATTTTTGCTGTTTGAGACCAAATTCAGAAGAGATTTCTTGTTGTAGCGCAAAACTTGGTGAAGAGTAAACTATTGTTGATGTTGCACAGTATGCCATGGCTTTTACCCAAGATCTCACTAGGATCATATTGAACAGTCTGACAGGCAACAATTAGAAAGGATTGTAAAAATTGTACAGTATGAACCCAGCCTTAAACAACAACAACAACAACAACAAAAAACTAATAACTCAGGTTCTTAAAGGGATAGTTCACCCAAAATTGTCATAATTGACTCACCCTCAAAACAACATTGGACCACATTGACCTTTATTTTATGGATTTGAAATTCGAGGAGGACAAAAACAATAACACAGCTAATGGTTGTAATGAAGATGTTGCTTTGAAATGCCTGTGATCCAAAGAACAAGACACCCAGAGGCCTAACACACCCAGGAGATAAAAGAAACATGAGGAGTTTTCAAAAAGCATTTTTTAAAAGATCATCTTTTTTTTTTCTTTCTTTAAAAAAAATATGAATGAATGTCTGTTTTCTACATTTTTGTAAAAGGTATACAAGGTCGCTATGGACCGGAGGTAGGTAATAGTGTAAGTATTTTTTTTCTGCGCAACAATAGTTGAATCTCTGATGACTCAAGTGCAATTAATCTTTATTCCTCAAGGTGGCAATGTCTGATACCCAATAATGAGGTGATGTTTCACTCATAATTACTGCAGGCATAAAACAAAAGAATACTTAAGTCAACAAAACTTGAAATGGCTCAGTAATTTAGGCAAGGCAAGGCAAGGCAAGTTTATTTATATAGCACATTTCATACACAATGGCAATTCAAAGTGCTTTATATAGAAGAAATTAAAATAATCAAAACAAATAAGAATAATTAAAACAGTTTAGAATAAAAAATCAAATAAAGTAGTACTGGTCCACCCCTATCTGAGATGGAAGAGATTGAGCCGGTTTACGGTGCCACTGGACCTCTATCCCAGGGACGTACTCTGCTGGGGTGGTGCTACACCAGTAATGCCCAGCGGGGCCCCCACAGAGCACGCTTCGTGTGCGCTGTCTGCTGCCGTTACCCTAAACGACGCTCTCAGCGACTTCTTATACAGCAGGCTACAGCAGAGTAAGTACTGTATGGAATCTTGCACTTGATGGTGGATCTGGTAAAGATGCTGTCAGTGATCAAAATTTTGATTTTGAAGACAGGTAATTTTGAGAATAATGGTTGAGATTGCGAATATGAGCCAGATGCTGATGTACTGGGAAATGAGCTCTGCCGAAGACAGTGGTGATGGTAAAAAGCATCAGCTCAAATTGAATCTTTCAGAGTTCCAAAAATTAACGAAATATGCTTTATTTTATTACTTTGTAATTGATATTAAAATATCAGGAGAGTTTTATACTATTGAGTATAATATACTAAGAGATCTTATACTAAGAGATCCATCCAAATCCGGGTCACTAAAGACCCGAATATGTAATAATGATTGGCGAAACATTCATGCATTTAAAGTTTAACATGCTTATCCAAACTTTCATCTGTTTTCTTGAGTTCAGTGATCTCAGCAGTATTGTATGATTTTTTTTGTACTCACACAATGTTTGTAAATTACTACAAACTTTTAATGGGCTTCAAGGAACAAATCGTGTCTCACTTTTTTCGATTAAACATGCGCAGCTTAAAATACCTGTGATAACAGGCAGCAGACTGAATTCATTGATTTCATGGAATGTATCTCTGACTTGGATCAGAATGCTAACTGCATCTTGTCTGTGGCTATAGTACTTTCTCTGTCAAAACTAAAGTGCAATCTGCAGTGTCTTTGTTTGGATGGAATGTCCATAGATTCCAGGGAGCTTTGGTTACCAGATGAGTCATCCATCCCATGATTTCTGAGAGCTCTGAATACAAATCACAAACTGCCCTGCAGGGGAAAAGTGCATGGTTTGTTCAACCCTCTCTTCTTTCTCCTCTCTTCTTCATGCTTTAAGTCCCCTGCATGCTCTCCAGCTTGAGCTTTTGGTTTATATGCACGGAAGTACATTGTCGTATCCAAGACCTTGAAGGATCAAACTGAGTGTTTGTTTCAATCATACACATGGCAACCATATGTGTGTGTTTTGTTGTTTCCTAGCAACATTTTCGTTTCCTTTTTTTGTGGCTACATCACCAATGCGCTGTGCACATCAACAATAGTCATATTGAGATACATCACTTAAATCAGGAGGATAGAACGCTGATCATGAGAAATTCTGTTTACAGCCTTTTTCTCACTTCATTATTGAATTCTTTCCAGTCAGTAGCTTAGTGGATGTCACATGTCTGAACAAAGAACTTCCTTGTGTTGATAAGGTTTGTAGAGCACAGACAAGCCATCACGGTTTACAAATGAAGAGTCTAATGAAAAGTTGACAGCCACATCTGTCAGAAAGCAAGCAGAAAGAGTTAGAGGAAAAGCAGGAAAATAGAGGGACAGTGAGTCACACTCCAGAGTGAAGGAATTCCACCACCCTGCCCCCTTTTACAACATGTGACCACCCCCACTCCTAAACTCTTTTTCTTTCTTTATTTCTCTCACCCACAAACGTGCATGCTTTATTTCTCAGTTACATGAATGCAATGTTTTAGGCTTATTACTTAACCAACAGGCTCAGATTTACATATATTTATGAATCTGATAGCCTTTTTTTAAACTAATTTTTAATGTGTCTGCTTTGAAAAGGGTGGAATCACATTTTTAGTTCAGTTGCACCCATTTCCAGATGAAACTGCATGCAATTGGCTCGACGGGATGTAGCAAGAACGAAACAAAGTCTTTGGCAAATCATATTAAAATCAACTTTTTATTACTCTTTTGTGTTTGTGTTTTTTTTTATTCGTGTTTCCACCCAGTCACCTTCTGCTTTACCCGCTCATTATCTGCAACTCGGGCATACTTAGGAAAGTAAAAATAAAAAAGAATAATGAAAAGAACAAGGAAAGGAAAAGCTGAATCCTTCAGTAAGGGGAAACTTTTTTCCTTTTCTTACTCACCACCAAACCAGGAATGTTTGTAGAATGTGTTTTAGCTACAACCACTGATCAAAAGTTTTGGAATCTGTAAAAAAAATGTTTTATTTATTACATTGTGACATTAAATATACAATATATATATATATATATATATATATATATATTTATAAGAGCCTTGCCAATGGCTTCCACAAAAATATCAAGCACCATAACTGTTCTCAACGTTGATAATAATAAGAAATGTTTCTTGAGCATTCACGCGCCACCGTTTGTGATGAAGGACAGTTCCAATAACGGTGTTGATCAGGACTAAATCAGCATATTACAATAATTTTTGAAGGATCATGTGACACTGAAGACTGGAATCACAGGGATCCATTACGCTTTTAAAACTAATAAAAAATAAAAAAAACATTTATTTCAAATTGTAATCATAAGAGACTTCCTTTAAAGGTGCTCTATGTAACTTTTAGCGGCCTCTAGTGGTGATGTTTCAGATTGCAACCAAATTTTACAAGAGCGCTCGTGCTCGAACTCATAGACAATACCGTCTATTACGCAAATATCTCGGCGAATACTAGACGGATTCGGCGAGCACCGAGCTCGTTGGGACCATCTAGTCGAGCTGAAAAGAACCATATAAGTTCCATAGTTTTTGGTGGTGTTTTCGCGGAGATATTAGCAGAAAACCATCGGGTGCGCAGCAAATTTGCGGACGCCGGTGACGTCACGATCTCAGAAGAAAATCGCTTGTATCTCTGGAACGCAAAGGGGGGGGGGAGGGGGGAGGGGGGAGGGGGGGTCCCAGGGGAACCCTTGCCTGAACGCTAGAGTGGCGGGCCTCGGGGATGCCCCCTACCGGATTGCCGTTCGCTGGGACCCCCGATTTCGAACGGCTATAACTCGGGGAGCCGGGCGAGTTGGACATCGGGGGTGGGCTCGTTCGAAAGGCCCCGTCCAGCACTACGAAGGATTAGTGTCTTGGAAATATTGATCAAAGATTGACTGAGATATAAGCCGAAAAACGTGCGCCTTTAACCGGACGTAACTCCCTGACCGTCTACAATAGACTGTATGGCCCAATCCCAAATGGCACACTTCATGTGCACTTTCGGTCTTGTGGACTTACAATGGCTGCCGCGTGCGCGTGTCCGTTGAGTCCGTGAGACCGCAGTGTGTCCCATTTGTCATTTTTAGATCTCAGAAGGGTGCTCGCTAGCGCCCCCTCTGCGGTCGATTTGCGCCCTTGATGCGCACTTTTGCCGAGCCCGCGCTGATGCGGACTCCACAGCAGACTTATTCCCGACATTCAAAGCGGCGTTACGTCATGAAAGTGCGGACTCAGAGGAAGACTGCGAGTGCTTAGGGTTCCATTTGGGACAGGGCCTTCATAAGGAGAGAGTCTCGGGAGCGTGCATGCACGTCACATCCGTTGGATTTCGCGGTAAATCCGACCCGGAGACTTCACATAGAAATAGGAATACTGGCCTTCAGAGGTAAAAGCAAAACTCGACAAGTGGATCATTTTAATGTGTGATTACAACCCCTTCACACACAGGCAATAAAAAAAGGATTCATTTTAGTAGAAAAGTTACATAGAGCACCTTTAAAAAAATTTTTTTACCAAACCCAAACTTTTTAACAGTAGTTTATAAGTGAGTAGAATGAGAAAGTAAAGACAAAGGTTCTCTCATGAAACAAGCAGTCAGAAATATACACAACAATGGCGACCTTAATGATTAATAGGGCAGAATATGATGACAACTCTTTGACGGAATGTGTGGCATGATGACCTATATGGTAATGCTAATTATAGGCAAATCATTTAAAAATTGTGTCAAACTACAGCATTTTTTCTTATGCAAAAAGAAAAAAAGGCTGTAGTTTGATACAATTTTTAAATGTGCACTCAGAAACATCATACATACACAATCAAAAGGGAATCTTTTATTTCAACTTAGTATTTGATATAAAGATATTGCAATGTTAAGTTAAATATCAATTAGATTTTTACTTGACTTGACATACATGAGTCATCTTGTTTTCTGTGTCTGTAGACTAAAGCAAAGATAGAAGGCTGTGAGATGTGTGATTGGTTCGGGTGAGGTCAGATGTTATGATGGATTAGTGGAACACACACCCTGCGACATGCTACATTTAAATTAATTTTCTCAGCAGATTAAGAAATCATTTTCATGATTGGCCTAATTTAGTTGGTGAGAAAAGGCAAAAGAGGGTGAAGCTACAGGAAAATGACGTCCTGACAACACTGAATGACAGACAAAAACCTTCCCTCTTCTTTAAATTCATGGAATTCTGTTGCTTGCAAAAATATTTTTTGTTTAGCCTATACACTTACTTTTGAATGGCTGTCGGAGAAAGTTGCTTTTCCCCCCCACAGAATAGCGTAATATCTATCTAAAATGGTTAACCCTTGCCCTTGCTAACCAGCTAAACCTAAACTCCTACTTTAACCAACCAAAAGTCCTTCAACTGTCAATCTTCTGTTTGTGCTCTGTAGACAAAATGCAATTCCAAACTCAGCCACTAGGGAGGGCTCAAATCCGCCACAAACTGGGAAACACAAAACAGACTTACCAGAATGTTGTTAGTTTACCGCTAGCACATGTTTTTGCTTAGTAGTAGTAGTATACTTTATTATCCTCGGAAGGAAATTTGTTTTGGACTACATGTTGCTGCATATACATATAAATATACCAAAAAAAAAAAAAAAAAAAAAAACCTTAACTTCTTTTCCACTTCAGCTCTCAGACAGTGTTCCTCTCATGATTCACTGGCTCAGAGCATTTAGCATTTGTATCCATCTTCCAGAGCTATTAATTCTATTCTACATTTCACTCTGCTAATGCTTGCAATGCAGCATGTTGCAGGCATCCAATATTACATATTTTCAGATTGCTTAAAATTTCTCAATTTCTCTTTATTACTGTATTTTACTGTTTTGCAACCGTTTCCACTGTGGCATAGTGATACATGGATGTGGTAGGCTGTATTAAAATTGTCTTCGTCTATTACGCCTATTAACACAACTCCTCCATTGTCTGTTTTCACTCACCTAAGGACTGTTTATGTAAAACATCTCCCTCCTTCAGTTCAGCACCTTTACTTACAAAGAAGGCTTTCTCCTTTGGTGAAACATTTATCCAAAAGCAAACAGATGTTATGCCTACCTTCACATAGCTTGTCACTCAGTTATTTCTTATAAGTGTTGTCATAGATTTACCCCCTGGTGCCTCAAAGGGAGAACCAGTTGTGGTGCAATTCTTCTTTTAAAAAATCTGTTTTAACGACAGTCACCTGTTTTTGCCTTCAGGACACCCCACCCTTTTTTATATAACAGAAATACAGACAATGCGCATGAAGAGTATTCAACCAGAATTATACTGCTGAAAACTCATGCCTCAAGCCAGCAACAACAGGTCACCAATGGCTAGCTGCTGGTTTGGGCTTGTTTGTGGTTGTTACACTCTTACACGAATGAAAGTGATTGAAACGCATTCCAGGAATCATCAGTATTAATATGAAACAGTAGAAAGCCCTCAAGGAGAATTATGTGTATTATTAGGCTACTCTGTGTCTTGTCCATTCCCATTTTACTTAATGTTATACTCTCCTCTGTGGTTTATTTAGGAGCACAGTGAATTTACTAACAATTATTAATATAATATTATTCATCAATAATTAATGAATATATTCTTCATGAATAAAATAAGTCACCACTCTTCTCACTCAGACCCATTTATTCATGTTATAATTTTATTAATTTATTAGTTTTACAGGCTGTGTGTATATTTGCTGAGAGGTGACTGAGGGTCTGATATGTCAGGACTACTGTATTTACTTCTTTATGGCGTCTGCCAGAGAATAGATATGCAGTTATGTTGTACTTCGTTTATTGATTTTTGTGTAATCATGTTGAATCATTAATTCCAGAGAGAGTTTCGATTTATATCTTTTTATTTTATTTTGATGTGCATATATATTCAGTTTTGCCATCATAGGAATAAATTAAATTAAAAAATATCTTCAAATGAAAACAGGTATTTTAAATTAATATTATGCTTTTTGATCATTTTTGATCAGATGAATGCAGCCTTGGTGAGCATAAGAGACTTTTTGAAAACATTAAAACAAATCTTACCGACTTCACACTTTTGATCAATAATGTATATATTGCTAGCTATATAGTCAAGTGTATATATAAGGTTTTCTCTCCGTTTTCCCCCTCCAGGTTTCTTTGTAGACTGTTGCGACTGTTGATAACTTGGCAGTGAGTCCCTGCTGGTATGCATAGTCTTGCATTGTGCTGCCAATAACTTGCAATATTCCTGTAAAATGCGATTTTTGTTCAATAATTTCTCATTTTGTGTATCATAATATGTCTAGACTGTCACATCTTATCGCATACAGTTTGCATACAAGTTGTTTGTTGAGTTCAGCTCGAGTTCCTATACAGAGTCTGTCTGACCATAGGAGAGATTCCTCCTCGCTAGCAAAAGTAACAGTTATTGCACGTTTAAATCTAATCTTACAAACGAGTGCCACGTCTACTACTGTCTGTCTACACGGCAAACGCCCGGTATTAATTGTTTTTCTAATGTCACGACAAGCCGCTCACAATCACTGTACCAGTGCTGTAAGTTTTCTCTCACCTATAAAGAAAAGACAGTAAAAAGAAAAACTTTTTTTAATCTGCATTAACCTGCATTAGCAGAGGAGAAGCTGCAATGTGTCTTCAGTGGCATGTGACCTTCATGAAAAAGGGGAACAAAAGATTTAGACATGTTTATGACAAAAGTATATAGACCTCTTCCCTATAAATTACTCAGCAACAACACGAGCATGATACACGTACATAATGAATATAAATATCAAATATTGCCTTAAAGGCCATAACTTATAGGTATACCCTTTATTTCGATGGTGCCCTTTAGACATTCCGTTGACTATAAATAACGCTTACCTACATGTCAACTAACTCTCATTGGAGTATTCGTAGACTGTTAGGGTTAGTAGAATAAGGGGTGTGGGTTGGTAGAAATTTGGGAAGCTGTTATTTTTAAAGGGACAATCTATCTACTAATGAACATTTTGTAATCGTTTACTCACTCTCATGTTGTTGCAAATGTTTATGCATTCCTTTCTTCTGCTGAAAACAAAAGTTGATATTTTAAAGAATGTTGGTAACCAAACAGTTTCAGTTCCCATTAACTTTCATTACATTGTTTGTCTATATGATGGAAGTCTATCCAAAACTCCTTGGTTACCAACATTCATCAAAATATCTTCTTTTAAGTCACAGTTAAAGGGTTGGCTGCAATTAGACTGTAACTTAGCCAGAAATGTGCACCCAGCAGTTGAAAGTCTTGGACTGTTATCTTTACAACAAGTTGGATGGATCAACCCATTATGCCTTTTGCCTCTGGAAAAGTGCAACATACAACCAACCAATGGAGTGTTTGTATGGAGGCAGCTACGAGGGTAAATCAGACTTGTTTTTATAATGAGTTTAAAGGGTAATTGTTTTTGCATTTGTTGATAGTGGGGACAGGCTCAAGTCAGCAATTAATGATCCATTCTAAGAGGGTGGATATAGAACTAAAGCTGTCAAATATCATACGTGAACACTCATATATACTGGTCATGCACTCATGAAATGTTATACACTTTATTTTGTGCAGTTATAGTTTTTTTTTTATTCTTAATAATTGACATAATATTTTGGCTGGTCTTTGATTCGTTTTCTCTGATTGGCTGATCCTGGATCTACTGTTTCTGTGCTCTCATATCAATTAATGATGCAAAGTAAAAGTATAGATTTGATTAATGGTGTCTTAGCATGTTCAGATTTCACCCAAAAAATTACGTACGTTTTGGAGTGTTCTAAGCATTTCCCCTTTGCTCAGGGATCTAAGTGAAGCAGTTAATGTATAACTGTATGATTGTCCTTTTGACGTTCAACCCCATAACTCTCCATACATATCTTGAAAATTGTTTCTTGACCAATAAGCTGGTCTTGAGCCACTCCCTGCACTCCATATAAGAGTTTGAGGGCACGTCTGTCATCCCACCACTCCGACCCCTCAACTCTCTGTCCTCTCCAACTCTGACTTCTGTGTTGTCCAGAGATGCTGAACACGAAGAAAACCGTGAGGTCTTTCAGCAGTCACTCCTCAGCGGGTGTGAGGAGCAACAGGCGGACCCCCCTCACCCGTTCAGGGATGGTTTCGAGGGAAGGTTGGGGCTCCAGTCCTGTTCTCTGCCCTCCAATTACAGCTGTAAAGGTCAATGAAAGTCTTCTGGCACCTCTGAACCTGGAGATTGACCCAAACATCCAGGCCATTAGGACTGACGAGAAAGAGCAAATCAAGACGCTCAACAACCGCTTTGCTTCATTTATTGACAAAGTAAGTTACTTCCTTCATCTTGTCTTCATTTTAACCTTTTGCGTGGACCTTTTATATTTTCACTTCTAACCGAATGCATGTACATGTGTGTGGTTCATATGCTGGTGTGAGGAAGTATGTGGTTGTAATAATACGTCAGGTCCAGTCCTATCAGTGTCATATATTATCAGGACCCCCACTTCACTGACTTACCTGAAGGGGCAATGTCCATTCTCTGCCATAAACACACCTTTGTCGTTTTTTGGGGCAATATCAGTTTACTATCAGGTGCAATGGCCGCTCCCTTATGCATGCCTTTATTGAAAACACACACACACCTATCTGTGCACACATCTTTGAACTCACATAATCTGTGAGGTAAAGGACAGAGAGACATTTGCACTTAGGCTGCATTTATCATTTCATTTGAAACTCTGCATGACTATTTAAGTGAACTACAAAAAAATAGAATTTCATCTTATTTAAATTTTATTGCAAAAATATATATTTTTTCTCAAATAGTGACCATTTACAGTATCTAAAAATAGAACTATATACATAGACCTCAGTCAAAATAACTTAGGCAAATTTTAAACAAGGCTGTACAGTGAAATATATAGTATACAGAGAAGCACAGTGTGTTGAATAGATTTTACTTGTTTAACATTACAATTGTTCAGCTGAGGAAACACTTTTAGTGGATAGAAACTCCATAAAACAGTTCTGATAGTTATGAGATATGAAAATTACATTTTTCATCTAGGTTTGTGCCATTGGAATGCCATTTTTCACTCACAGCCTTGTTTTCATTTGGGTTAAATTCAACACACCCTGACAAAGGTTTATACAAATTTTAATCTAAATCTTGAAGTGTTGAAAAAAAGTTAATTTAATGTCCATGTCATTTGTCAACTACCCATATGCGTTATATTTTATCATAAAAAACCTGTAAATTCTCTCTCTCTCTTCTTGTCTTTCCCCAGGTGCGCTTCCTGGAACAGCAGAACAAGATGCTGGAGACTAAGTGGAGTCTCCTACAGGAACAGACCAGCCGCCAATCCAGCATTGATATTATGTTTGAGAGCTACATTACTAACCTGCGCAGACAGCTGGATGGTCTGGGTAATGAGAAGCTGCGTCTGGAGTCTGGGCTGCAGGACATGACCAGCCTGGTAGAAGGCTTCAAGATCAAGTGAGAGCATTGGAAACATCTGCACAAATCTTGCGTGTTTGTACATTAAAGAGTTTAAATGTACAAACTTTGTACATTTGTCCTCAGGTATGAAGATGAAATTAACAAACGGAATGATTCTGACAATGAATTTGTGCTGCTTAAAAAGGTCAGCACAAAATAAGTGCTCACAGATCAAATACTTTTACCCCTGGTTTCACAGACAAGGCTTAAACTAGTCCCAGACTAAAATGCATGTTTGAGCTGTTTTAACTGAAAGCAACTTGCACTGACAAATCTTAAAATATGTCAGTGCCATTGTTTTGTCTCAAGATGCACACCAGTAATGTTTTTTTTCTAAGGCACATTTATAATAGCTACTTTAATGCCCTAATTGAACTAAGGCTTAATCCTGGCTTAATCTAAGCCCCGTCTGTGAAACCAGGCCATAAAAATTTGACAACTAGTTTGAAAACTAATTACCATAATTCGATTATTAGAAATATATTTTGTACTGTTTTATGTTTATGTTAGGATGCTGATGGTGCATACCTGAATAAAGTGGAGCTGGAAAGCAAATTGGATTGCCTAACAAATCAGATCAACTTCCTTTGGCAGATTTACGAGGCGGTAACATTCAATCCCTTCACATTTCTAATAAATCTTTTCCTACAGTTACATATTCACTTTGCAGATAGAATGTATTAAGTTAACTGATAGTAAAACATAACTCATAAGAGCTTATAAAACTTATTGAGTGTAAGAAATGTAAACCTTCAAAAATAGTGGTAAATGGACGTATAAACAAGATTCAGAATGAGTGTTCTCTTTCATAGGTTCACTCAACGCTGCGGAAAGCGCAGTGGGATATTCTCTGAATGTGCCGATTGTCTGAAGCCTTATAGAATCACGCCAATTCATTGGCTGATGGCGTCCGCGCGATATTGCTCCGCCCCGACGCTCTTACGTCGCATCATTACATATTCGCGCGCGCGCCATCTGCTCCTCAGATTTCTCTACCTTCAGAACGAAGCGGTCACGTTGCCCTTTGCTCGTGATTTTTCTGAGCTACATCTAAGGATTATTCTCGGCGCTTCTGCGACTGTTCAAGCGGAACTCTGTTTCTCCTTACGGTGAAGTTGCCATGGATGACAGACGCTGTACTCCGCCATGTGCTCGTTACATTGCTAACGACGACCCACACAGTAAGTGCGTTAAGTGTTTGGGTTTTTCACATGCATGTGAGGCAGTTATAGGATCGTCTAAATGCAAATTCTGTGAAAATTTGTTGCTCAAAACCCTCAAATCGCGGCCTTTGAGAGGGAATCATTCGTCTCCCCCTGTCGCGCTCCCGAGGCCTCTCGAGGATCCGCGACATGGGGTTCGGATGTAGAGCTTGAGGATGTGGAGTTCGAGCAGACGAGCCCCGCTCTTTCTCTCCCTCCCTCCCCTCGGCACGCGCGAGGCATGCCAGTCGAATTTTCACACGATTATTTGCGCCCCAGCCCGGGAGCACACGACGCGGTTTCTTTCGGGCTGGAGGAAATACTTTTTACCGAGGCTTCCGACTCCGAGGATTTCGGGCCTACTCTCGCCGACGAGGTTATCCCGCCGAGCGGCCAGGAAGCGCGGGCTACTGCGGCCTACGCTGAGCTCGTTGACGTGCTTTCGCGCGCTACGGAGAAGCTCACTATTGATTGGCCCGACGAGCCACGTGAGTCTCAGTCGTCGAAACTTGACGAAAGGCTTCTCAGTGGCCCTAATTCTAGGCCTCAACGGAGGAAGCTGCCATTTTTCAGTGATCTGCATCATGAGATCTCCAGATCCTGGAAGCAGCCTTTCTCTTCGCGCCTCACTAATGCGGCTGCTGCTGATTTTACCAACCTGGTAGGCTCTGTGGAACAGGGCTATTCCGCCATTCCGGCGATTGAGGAAACTTTAGCTTTATTGCTGCCGTCGTCTGCGCCGTCCTGGAAGTCGCGCCCCCTCCTCCCTTCTAAAGCATGTAGGACTACTTCCTCTCTCATTGGGAAATCCTACATGGCGGCTGGGCAGGCAGGCATGACCCCGCACACTATGGCCATTCTTCAGGCCTACCAGGCGGACGTCCTGAAGGAAATGGACGAGGGCGACGGCGTGACTCCTGAAGCGGTCAAGGAGCTTCGTAAGGCTACGGATTTAGCCTTAAGAGCCACCAAGCATACCGCACGCGCTATAGGTCGCTCTATGGCTGGTTCTGTTGCGGTGGAGCGCCACTTGTGGCTTAATCTCACGGAGATTCGTGACAAAGAGAAGGTTTTCCTCTTGGACGCCCCCATTTCTCAAACGGGGTTGTTTGGTGAGGCGGTCAACACAGTGGTTGAGAAATTCCGCTCCTCCAAATCCCAATCGGCTGCGTTCAGACAGTTCATGCCCAGGAGGGCTAGGGAACCTTCTGCTCCCCCCCCCGGTGCGACCCAGAGAACGTCCCTCTCATAGACCGGAGTTCTCTTCCAGAAGAAGCGAACCGGGGCATCCCCCACCTACCACGGTTTGGGGAGCCCGCGGTCGCCCGTTTCCCCGTCAACGGCCTCACAAGCGCCTCCAGTTGAAGCGGTCCGACAAACCGACTGCTCCGGCGGCCCAGAGCCGTTCCTGACCTTCCGGACAGAAAAAGGAGAGCTCCTCTGCTTCCTCAAGGTTGGGTCAGACCGCACAAGCGTTTCTGCCCACCTCCCAGCTCTCCTTTCCTTGCCCTGTCACCTTCGCCACTCAGAGTGTCTCGAAGTGCAGGTCATATTTCACCTTCTCTACTCAGTCCGGTGCGGGAGGAAGGAGACGCTTTCTGCTTTCTCCCCTCACCCCCCACACTCTCTATAACTGCCGGCCGCACCCTCGGAGGCACTTTCCGTTTTCCTCCGGAGCAGGCGGATCTGGTCACCATGACCCCAGCATCGATGCCTCCCATCACGTGCCAGGACGCCGATGGCCCTCCTGCACAGTCAACCTCTTTACTCCAAGAGCGTCAGCACGGCACCCTCACTCAGGTATGTCGTCTGCATTACAACATCCCTCCTCCTCTATCACATTTCCTTCCAGAGTGGGAGCGCTTACCAGGGGTATCGTCTTGGGTTCTTCGCACAATTCGGTTCGGCTACACTCTTCAGTTTTGCCGCAATCCCCCCTGTTTCAACGGGGTGTTTCCTACTGTAGTAGACAGCGCCACTCAGGCTTCTGTACTTCAGCAGGAAATCTCTTCCCTCCTTCTCAAAGGAGCAATAGAGGAGATTACTCCAGGGGAAACCGAGCGGGGCTTTGACAGCCGTTACTTCCTGGTCCCGAAGAAGGGCGGCGGTTTGCGTCCCATACTGGACCTCCGCCGACTGAACTTCGCCCTTTACAAAGGGAAATTCAAGATGTTGACGCTGAAAGCTATCATATCTCAGATTCGGCCAGGGGATTGGTTCGTGACGATAGACCTAAAGGATGCTTATTTTCACATCCAGGTTGTACAGCGACACAGGCAGTTCCTCAGGTTCGCCGTTGGAGAAAGGGCGTTCCAGTACAGGGTCCTTCCCTTCGGCCTATCTCTGGCCCCAAGGACATTCACAAAGTGCATGGATGCAGCTCTGGCCCCATTGTGGCTCCAGGGCATCCGTGTTCTAAATTACCTGGACGATTGGCTTATTTTAGCCCAGTCCAGGAAGCTAGTGGCCCACCACAGAGACATCGTTCTGAGTCATATCCAGTCTCTCGGTTTGAGGTTGAACTCAGAGAAGAGTGTTCTTGCTCCGGCTCAGAGCACCGTTTTCTTGGGGGTGAACATGGATTCCGTTCTCATGTAGGCCCGCTTGGCCCCTGCACGGATTTCCAGCTTGATGACATGCTTGGCTCGTTTTTTGCTAGGCCATCATGTGTCGGTGGGCACCTGCCGCAGGATGCTGGGCCTTATGGCTGCGGCCTCCTCCGTGCTACCGCTGGGCCTACTCCACATGAGACCCTTCATGTGGTGGTTGAAACTCTCAGGGGTTCGACCCTCCGGGTCAACCCTTCGCCTACTAAAGGTATCGCGCAGTTGCTTTCGAGCCCTGTCAGTTTGGCGGGACCCTCTTTTTCTTCGGAAAGGGGTCAGCATGGGTGCGGTATCTCGTCGCCAGATGATTACGACAGATGCCTCTCTCACCGGCTGGGGAGCGGTTTTCGAGGGCAGACCAGCGTGTGGGGTCTGGACCGGAGAGGCTCTCTCTTGGCACATAAACTGCCTGGAGTTAAGAGCCGTTTTTCTGGCTCTGCATCATTTCCTCCCTCTTCTGGAGGGTCACCATGTCATTGTCAGAACAGACAACATGGCAGTGGTGTCTCATGTGAACCGGCAGGGAGGTTCTCGTTCGCGCACCCTAGACAGGCATGCGCGTCACCTTCTCCTGTGGTCTCAGAGCAGATTCCTATCTCTAAGAGCGGTTCATGTCCCAGGGGTTCTGAACCTCGCAGCAGATTTTCTGTCGAGACAGAAACTCAGATTGGGGGAATGGATGTTGAACCGCCAGACGATGGCCCTGATCTGGGAGGTTTTTGGAGAGGCGGAGGTGGACCTCTTTGCATCTCAAGAGTCGTCCCAATGCCCGCTTTGGTTCTCCCTGAGTCCCCTGGCCCCATTGGGGATAGATGCGTTCGCTCACCCTTGGCCAACGCAGAAACTCTATGCCTTCCCGCCCATCAAACTGATCCAGGCGGTCTTGGCCAGAGTGAGAGAGAGCGGAGTCCGCCTCCTCCTGGTAGCTCCGTTCTGGCCATCTCAGCCATGGTTTTCGGAGCTAATTCCTCTACTGGAATCTTCCCCCTGGAGGATCCCGGTCAGGGAAGATCTGCTGTCCCAGCTACAGGGCAGGATATGGCATCCTCGCCCAGACATGTGGAAGCTGTATGTTTGGCCGATCAGAGGCCGTCGGCATTAAGCTCTGGTCTCCCAACTGACGTTCAGGAGACCATTGCGAGTGCTAGAGCCCCTTCTACAAGGAGATTATATTCTTCCAAATGGAGGGTGTTTGAGACTTGGTGCTTAGCACATGATAGGAGCCCAGTTAACTGCCCTGCTGGTTCAGTACTGGAATTCCTGCAGGAGAAGTTTGCTGCTGGAGCAGCCGCTACCACTCTCAGAGTTTATGTCGCGGCTATTGCAGCGCATAGGGAATCGGATGAGATTCCCCTGGGCAAATTAAGGTTAGTTTCTGCCTTCATGCGTGGGGTGAAGCGCCTGAAACCGGCTCGCTCCCCTAGAGTTCCCTCATGGGATCTTTCTGTTGTCCTAGAGGGTTTGACGAAAGCCCCCTTTGAGCCCTTGGAGTCAGCTCCGGAGAGGATTCTGACTCTCAAGGTTTCTCTTTTGTTAGCTTTGTCCTCATTAAAGCGGGTGGGAGACTTACAAGCTCTTTCTGTTAGCGAGTCTTGCTTGGACTTTGCCCCTGGCCTGGTCAAAGTTTCCTTGAGGCCGAGACCAGGGTATGTCCCCAAGGTTCTTTCCTCAACTTTCCGCTCACAGGTAGTTAACCTTAACGCTTTCCACCCTCCTCCATTTTCGTCTGGGGAAGATAGGAAGCTTAACTTGCTCTGCCCAGTTCGTTCTCTCAAGATATATGTAGACCGCTCAGGCGGTTGGAGGAAATCTAACCAGCTTCTGGTTTGCTTCAGTGCTAGCCGCCGTGGGCTTGCTGCATCAAAGCAGAGGATTTCTCACTGGGTCACAGAGGCTATCTCGTTGGCTTACGGGGTGCGTGGCTTGCCTTCACCTCTTAGCATTAAAGCACATTCCACCAGAAGTGTAGCATCTTCTCAAGCTCTTTTCAGAGGAGCACTTTTGGAGGATATTTGTGTTGCGGCAGGCTGGTCCTCTCCGCACACTTTTGTAAGGTTCTATAGCTTGGATCTTGACATGACCCCGGGTTCCCAGGTTCTTTCTGTTTGAACTCATTTCGGTCGTTGTCTCTTTTATCTACCAGTTATAAAAGCGCTCTAGCTTGGCGAGTTTGGTAGTCCGTTCCCACTGCGCTTTCCGCAGCGTTGAGTGAACCTATGAAAGAGAACGTCTCTGGTTACTTGCGTAACCTATGTTCTCTGAATAGGGAACGAGACGCTGCGTTAGCGGCCAAGCTCCTCGCGCTGCTGACAGTTTCTTTTCGGCAGAGAAATCTGAGGAGCAGATGGCGCGCGCGCGAATATGTAATGATGCGACGTAAGAGCGTCGGGGCGGAGCCATATCGCGCGGACGCCATCAGCCAATGAATTGGCGTGATTCTATAAGGCTTCAGACAATCGGCACATTCAGAGAATATCCCACTGCGCTTTACGCAGCGTCTCGTTCCCTATTCAGAGAACATAGGTTACGCAAGTAACCAAAGACGTTTTCAGTAATTCTTGTTCCATGTTTATAGGAATTGCGTGAGCTCCAGTCTCAGATCAAGGACACGTCAGTTGTTGTAGAGATGGACAACAGCAGAAACCTGGACATGGACTCCATTGTGGCTGAAGTTCGTGCTCAGTATGAGGACATTGCCAGTCGCACTCGTGCTGAAGCAGAGAGCTGGTATCAACAGAAGGTGAGTTAACATTCTTGCATTGTGTGTGTGCATGTCACAAATCAGACATTTTTAAACGATTTTATTGCATTGTAATATATGAGCTTTTCTAAATATGCTCTATTTTTTTGTGTATGTGTCTGTACATGAATGTTCATGTCTGCTATAAAATGTTAGTATGGAGAAATGCAGTTGACGGCAACCAAACATGGGGATGACCTGAAAAGCACAAAGGCTGAAATCGCAGAGTACAACCGAATAATTGCACGTATACACTCTGAGATGGAACTTATAAAGGGACAGGTAAGAACTCTATTCAGGGCCAACTGTCAAAAAAAAAAAAAAAAGATTAATACTTTAAAATGTCAGTAAACAATGCCCAGCATACTTAGAGCTTGATTATTTTGGGTGATATTTGACAATAAGGTAAAGCTATAGGCAAAGTGTATTATATGTGAGTTAATCTCAGATGATCTCAATTAATCCCAGTTGATCTCAAGTTTTATGTGCCAGAGGGTGGGAAGGATGTAATCTTTTGTCTCCTCTTATTTTAGCATTCAAACTATGAGGTGCAGATCAAAGAGGCAGAAGAACGTGGTGAACTAGTTGTGAAAGATGCAAAACTCCGTCTGCAGGAGCTGGAAGCAGCTCTTCTGAGAGCTAAACAGGATATGGCTCGACAGGTGCGCGAATACCAATCATTGATGAACATCAAACTGGCTCTGGACATTGAGATCGCCACCTATCGGAAACTCCTGGAAGGAGAAGAGAGCAGGTGGGTGCAGCTTGAGACATCAGTGCTTGTTTAATATGAAACTTTAGTGAATCACAATGGACTCCTATATTGACGTCATGCACTTTCCGTGTGTTCCTTCACAGAATGTATAGTTCATTCCAGACTTTCTCCATCTCTAAACCAAACTGTGAGTTTCTTTAGGCACATAAAGCATGTCTTTTAATATACATGGTTTTAGACGTATTTCACATCAGCTACCCACATATAAAACGCTGCATTTGAACAGCATTTGTGACTGTTTTATTTCCTTTTTTCTTAGCTTTGAACTACGACTTTGAAAGCAGCCACTTCTCATCCCAAAGTGCTGGGAAAGATGTTCATAACACAGGCCTGGTTAAGAAGGAAGTCACGATTGCTAAGGGTGACAGCGCTAGCAGCTTCATCGGCAGCACTGCCACTGTTACCAAAAGCACAAAGACCACCATCATCACCAGTGAGAACAAACTTGCAGCTATAGAGGGAAGTATGATGGATAAGTCTGCAGGCAAACTAGAGGAGGATGTTTTTGAATGATGGAAGAACAGATGAAAGGATTGTCTTGTGTACAGGGCCCAGGATCAGATTTTTATAGGTTGGCCTCCACCCCCTCCCCTGGGCTCCATTAGCATGTCGAGTTAGCATCTGTTTCTAAGGTGTGGCAGATCAAAATGAATTACAGTTATACAGTATATCATATTAAATATGTTGTATATTTTTAAGGCCCTACGACCAACTCATATATTCTCTTATTTCTATTTTGCTCCATATAACTAAAAATTACTTAATATCTGTCACTCTAAGTACATTAAAACAATTGGAGAAACATCCTTTGTGCACTTTTCTGATTACGATTGTGGCCTATATTCAAATAAAGTGAATGGAGCAAAAAATAAATAAATACATTTCCGACCATGAGTTTTGAAGTCTTTATGCTTTATTTTATGTACTCTAGTCTAAAAAGCCTAACACTGATGCAGCAGATATATAATTTTGTTTCAAATATGAAGAAAATGTATTCACATGTATGACTTTATAGGGTCTGCTTGACAGTGATTGTGACGTTCCTGGATTGACATCTTTGTTGATCCTGGAACAACATCAATCAATCAGATTTGAGAGACAAGTTTACAGTTTATGTCAAGTTTAGGCTTACAGCCAGGGTTTGGTGTTCCTACATCAGTGTTATTCACCTATCATTTCCTTTTGATTTTAGTGATACGTAACGGGTAGAGTTATGTTTAGGGGTAGGATTTGGTTTACGACTAAATTTTCAGACAAGAATGTTGTTCCAGAATCAACAAAATATGTTGATCCAGGAACATGTCTTACTTGGCAAAATCATGGTGACACTCCTTGACAGTCAGTTATGAAGTAGGCTAGAATACAAATGAAGTGGTCAAGACTGTATTCAGTTGATTTCTCTATAGAAAAAACCTGTGATGCAGCGCAATAAAACTACTTTCTTTGAGTTTTTACACATCTGCAGTTCAGCAATTTACTTTGAATTTGCCTATTTGAAGGTGAACCAACCTTGATGGGACTTCCATTCTTAACCAACAGGAGGGGTTAGTTAAAAAAAAAAAAATTAGTTTTTAACTTTAAAAATGTATAATGTAAAAAATAAAAAAGTGATATCTGGAACTCAGTGAGTCTTGTAATAACTGCATTTATGACAGCGTCTCCTTCCCTTTTAGCTAACACTGCCGGGTTTGCAGTCGTAAGGGAATTTAGACTCGACACCAAGCGGCAACATTCTAATCTGAAAAATGAAGCCTACCCGGAAGTGCGAAAAACTGCAATACATCGAAAATCCGCTAGAGGGAGGTCCCAAAAGGGAGCAAATCTCCATAGACCCGCATGTTAAAAGTTTTCACAGCATAAATTCATGTTTTTACAGGTTGGTCCCATGGACTTTTATTGTATTTTTCGATATGTTCCGAGTGCCTGACAACTGTGAGGGGGGTGAATTTTTTTCTAACTCGGTAGTTTAGATCGTATTTAGATACAAAATGTATGACAAATAAGCGCGTGATTGACAGCTGATAACGGGCTGCGCCGAGTGGACTTCCTGAAATTTGACGTCTCGGCCATGATCTGACACAACACATCATACCACCTCTGTATCCTTTCTGAACATTTGTATTTGAAATATCATAAGATTTTCCAAGATGGCACCGCCCATACCCCCCATAAACAGCCTCAAACCCGTTCTTCAGAAAGTCTATGGGTGACGTCACAGACGCTTTGTCCATATTTTTTTACAGTCTATGCTCGACACCTATGAACTGGTGTAAAACTCAAACTGCTCAGACCTGATTTACCTAATCCTTCACAATCATTTTAGCACTATTGAATTATTTTAGAAATAACCAATTACTTTTACAAATCTATTAAATTATTATACTTACATAGCCTATTATGTATAGGCTAGTAGGCTATGCACCCATGATGTATTAAACTAAAGAAACTGACAATAGCCCTATTCGGACGGTTAGAGAAATTTGTGTTTAGACGCAGGCCTACTTTTGCGATTTTAATCCCGTCCCAATCTGCTAAATTTGTGTTTTTCTCACACAACCTCTGTAAAAATTCCAGGGGAAATTACCTAGCCTACTGTTTTTCTTCCTCTGAGAAATCTAATGAGAATGTCTGTGATTGCTGATGTTGATGTTGTATTATCCTAACGCTTCTCCTCATGTGTTTTGACCTACCTGAGCTACCGTCTGCGCACCAATCTTCGGCAATGCTTTAATTTTAACTTCGTTTCGATATGCATGCTATCCGACGAAAACAATAACATATACAATTAATAAATAGAGCCAAATCGCGGAAACTTCGAAGACTGCCCACTTTTATAGGCTATGTCGGGTAAGAGTAAGATACTTTCCTAGATTTCTCCGCTCACTTATTTAAACAGCCACTGCTCTAAACTCGTGATGTTTACTTTAATGTTTTTTTTTTATATAATAAATTTGATCCTTCTGTCCTACTTGTCACAGACGAAATCACAGACGTCGAGTGATAAGAATTGTAACTCAAACGTCGTTTAGAAAACTAGTCGCGTCCGAATAGTTCTAGGCCTATTGTTAAAATTAAAAATTAAAACCTGCCCTTATGGTGATAAATTGTCCTTGTGGTGGGGACAAGTCACAATAAGTTGCACTGGAATTTCTCAAGTCTTGCCACAACATGCACAGAGCTATTTTGCTCTCATGTTTCTGTTTCATGTGCCCTCATTGACTCTAGCTGTGCAGTTATTTAGAAGTTATTACTACGATGAGATAAAAAGCAGTTATTGTTCTGTGGTTTGTTATACAATAATGAGCAGATAAGGTGAGGTAAGAAAAATGTAGTGAACCCTTGTAGAGAATACCACACATAGCAAGCAACAGTTCAGTGGATGCTTGATTTTGGTGATCCATTTTGACACATGTCGGCCATAGGTGTTTAACCTTCTTTCTGAGTTGTACCACACCTAAAAAACACCAACCTAACCAGTCCACTCAGATCCAATCTACCCTCCCCCACACCCCTCTTGCAACACATCCATCTTTATTCACTCTGACTTTCTGCTATCAACAGCTGCAATCTGTTCTAGTTTTTCTTTGTTTGACCTTTCACTCCTCCCTTTTATTGATATATCATATTATTATTTTTATAATCTCCTGTCAAGTAGTTAAAAAACCTTCGCTCTTTCTTTCACTCTCTCTATGTCAGTCTCTCTCTTTCTGTGCAGGCATCAACAGGCCGATACTTTTTTTGAGGATATCAACAGAAACTCAAGGGATTACAGGGCTGATGCTCTGGTCAAGCCTCTCCATAAGCCTCCTAAATCTGCACTCATTCTGTCACATATTGTTCCTGAATTTCATTTCCCATTTATGGATAAGAATTTGCAGTTTTTCTGAATTGCTAAAACGCATTTCTCAAAAACATCACCCACTTTCTCAAAACCTTAAACACAAAACCAAATCTTCAAACTACATTGAGAGAACTTCTGACTCTTCTGGTAAAATCAAACAATTGCCTCAAAGACATTTTATCTGTACTCAAAATCAAATAATGCTTTCCAATCTTACACACAGCCAGTCAAAATTTAAACACTACAGATCATTCATATAAATCAAAGAAATGGAGAACATAGCATCTAGAGCATGCAGTTACAAAAAAAAAAAAAGTATATTGTAACAGTAAACAAAGTTTGCAATTACATAAAAAAGTATAGTAATTGAAACTTACAGTAGTAAGGTGAATAAATTGTATACTGTATACACTGCAAGTATGAATATTACTGAACGTCTGTATTTTCAGCACTTGCATACTGTAAAAATACAGTAGTCCAACTGCAAAAGTCAAAAAGGTTTTGCAACACTAGTGCATCACAGTGCAATATGTGTTTTAGTGAGTGATGATTCTTTTCACAAAAAACCACCCAAACTTGTTTAAGGTTTTACAGAAAGAGTAATTTGGCTTTTCTCACGTAGTAAGCTTGCTTGGTAACTCACCTGGTACAGCACTGATTTTGTGATGCAGAAAGCTCAGTTATATGATTCCTGTGAAAAATGAGTCAAGATAAAAGAGCTCGGAGACTTGTAGAAACAAGCTAAAATAGCATGGTTGCACTTTTGTTTCATGTATGGGGAGGGTTTGATGTAAGTGGAAAGTTATTTACATATAACGCGATAGAGCATTAACCATTTAACGACATTCACCAGACATTCATTTCCGATCTGCCATGTTACAACAACTAACGTAATAAATTGTTGCCAGATTATCGTTTATAATTATCGGCCCCGCACCGTATGGACTGAGGACAAGGTAACGTGGTTGGGGGCTTGGGTGGGTGCTTCTGTTAACTCACAATGAGCCCCGCCCCATGTGTTTTTCCAATGGTTTGCAAAAAAACATACGTATAGTTAGTAGTTACTTAGTTTAACATAGGCCTATTAGAGACACTTAAAATGTGTATAAACCATTTAGAGCCAAAAACCTGCAAAGATTTACAGTCTGACTTTTTTCATCATAAATTGAAAGTGTGCTGTTTTTATCTATGTCTAATATCTATTTCTTCATTAAATATTGCCGTAACTCAATGTGGGCAGGTCTATTCGGCCATATTACATACCACATTGCAAGTACATTTGTGAGATACCTATTAAAACATTCTTAAAACATTTTACATGTTCAAAATGACCTCAATTGACACCTTAACTTCACTTTCGCATGCACACACACAAACTGCATGAAATTGCAAAAGACATAATGCATATACGTGCAACTTGCACCAATATGCGAAAATGGAGTGTGTTTGTATCTCTGTTTTACTTTTTTTTTTAAATGCTTACGCACTAAAAGTGGTTCTTGAGCATTCACTCATATACCTAATCTTCAGACCAAGTCTGCAAAACTGCAAGCACGTTATATGCTTTACACTCAATTTGCATTTGTAAAACAAACTTTTTGCAAAATGCTATACACAGTTCTCTACATTAGACACGCCATTCAAAACTAACAGCTCTTGTGTTGCATGTAGAAAACACTGCCATTTAAATGCCACAATAATTACCCAATTACCTACACCCAACGATCATGTGTGAAACACTTCTACATAAATATAACATAAAAACTCAATGTTTTGAGAAACAAATACATTTTTGACCCTTGCATTTCTGTTTATTTTGAAAATGCATACAAGTCAAGTCCCCTTAATTTCTAGCACTTTGCACAATACAGATTGTTTTAAAGCAGCTTCACAATAGTAACAAATTCCAATTCTGCTTTAAAGCAGCTCTAACAAGCCAATAGTGTCATTATTCAGCTCAAGT